ATTCTCTCCTTTCAGTCAGAGCACTGTGTACAGAATGTACACAGAAAATCCACGGGTATGGTTTCTAMACAAGTCATTCTACTAATGGCAGCTATATTTTTTTGTTCATTCAGTTTCTCTTGTCCACTGAAACCACAGTTCCTGCTTGTTTTGGTATTTTCATAGTTGCCAGAGCTCTCTAAGCTGAAAGCATTACATTCCAAGGACTCAAGAGAAGAAGGGGAAAAAAAAGAAGCCCAGAAACAATCTTGTACTACTGGAGCCTTGACATCTTCCCACAACCTCACGAATATATGTCACAGAAGGAAATATAATTAGTTCTGTCCTCTAATTCTTTTTCCATTTTGAAGGAAGCATATTAGCATATCAGCAGAAAAGATATGGAAAATTTCRGAGGGTAGGGGAATAAAGCTGTTTTTTAATACCTGCCTGAACCAAGTGAAGCTGCGTTGGATGGTGCAGCTGGTTCATCAAATTTTTACCAGGGGTTCTGCAGTTTCAGCTTATTTTTATTACCTAGTCTTTATCCATCTGAGTTCAAGTACAAAGTGCAAGAGTCCTTGAGGCTACTTGCTTTTAGGAACAAAGAACTACTGAAAAATTCCAAGCATATCTCCCCTAACAAGGCTAGAGCAGATAGAGAATATGCTGTCTGGCCAAACACAATATGACTGTCTGTCAGAAAACTTCATGTCTTTAGCACCAAAGTTACCTCTTTCACATCTAATGCTGAGAAAAAAACCCAGACAGCTTTTTTTCCCCTTTGAATGTTGTTACTTCCCTGTTCACCACAATTCTTGGAGCATCCCCAAAGTTACCATGCCAGGTTATATCACCAGATTTGCCCCTGTTTTTATRGCTGCAGACAATAGCTACAGAATAAAATACACATTGGTAAAAGGGAGTTTTCAGCAGGTTTATATTTACCCTCTGCTTGAACTGGATTACATGTCCTTTCATGCACAAAGGCTAAAGGGAAAACAAAAAGTCTCACTTGTGTGCTTAAAAGAAGACGTGTGAGATCAAGCTGTTCCTGCGAAATATGGATGCCTGAGCTGCTTTRCAGAAAAACACAGACAGGTTTGGGTTTGTGTGCATGCAGAGCATCACCACAGATAATGGAGTGTGTTTTGAACATCTCCAGTACCATCAAAGCATAAAYAGCAGTAAGATTGTCACAGCCACTACGTGAGATGCTGGTCAGTAAAGCAAAGCAAGGCATTTAACTTAGGGAGTGACAACTGCAACTGGCACATTATGCACATAAACCTTGGGGCTGAGGAGACCTCTGAAACCAGGAATTGCTGCTGTGGGAGGACAAAGAGAAGAATAAGAGATGCCCCAAGTCATAGTGMAATTTCTCAGCCCAGAAAACCCAGGCAGGCGTTCTCACATGTGACAGAGCATCCAAATGGTAGCACAGACAATTCTGATATTCACAAGGGCAAACTGCACATCTAAAAATTCAGTATCAACAGTAGACTGTGAAATATTGATATTGATCAGCCTGGTCCTCACTTCATACACTGAGACCTGTGTTTCTGCTACATTAACCTCATTAAGCACTCTGTCACCCACCCTGGTCCATATTCCTGTTTGTTGGCTGGAGGCTTGAATTATTTCTTTTGAAAGTACAAAATCATAACATAATTCACCTTCAAAAAGACATGAGAGTTCTGCTGGCCTGTGCAGAACTCGTGCTTTTGATGAAGAGACTGAGAAATGATGGGAAAGTCTGGCRTACGCGACTGAAGACGGGAATTTTAAAAATTACATCGAACAGAATACATCACCGAAGAAAGCTAACTGGAGAAATTACCTGTGAAAATTGACACTCCAAAGTGTCACATTTTCATGATGGAAAKCACAGCATATAGGAGAAATTTCCAGATAGCACTCCACTCATTGRTGTGGGGGAAGGCTGCCATGTATCTGCCTGGGCCTTGCAAGGACAAAGGGGTTTTGGGGCGTGGTTTGGATTTGAGATACTTTCAGTGCATCAGACTTGTGTTTGTTCAATATCTGATATTAGTTCTGTATGCACCATACAAGCTCTTTAACACTTCAGGTGCTGTACCTCTGGACTAATATTGTATCTCTGCTGCTCAGAAATCAAACAATTCTGCCAAATCCTCTGTCTCTGCACAGGAGAAATTTTTAAATAAAAACAATGGAATATACAGATGCCTGGATGCAGAGGCTGTTGGCACGCCCAGGCACAACRCCACAGAGCTTTTTCCAGAAGGATCTGATTCCCAAAAGGGCACAGTGTAGTAGGAAAAAACAAAAAACACAGGAATGTGAATGCACTCTGCTGAAATGGCTTCACCAGGAACAATGTGCTGGGAGAAATGYCTCTGGTGAAACTCTGCCACACAGAACTATTTTATTGGTTCAAAATCTGCATTCTTAGTCTTTGGGACTGTAAGGGTTTGACACCTTCATGTTAATTCAAACAGATTGTATTATCTCGCCATACCAAAATGAAAAAAAAAGAGAAAAAAAAAAAANAGATTGTATTATCTCGCCATACCAAAATGAAAAAAAAAAGAGAAAAAAAAAAGAAAAAAAAAGAAAAAAGCATGCACCAATCAAAAAAGAGAAAAAAAAAAGAAAAAAAAGAAAAAAGCATGCACCAATCCACAGATTTTCATATTTAGAGAGATTACAGAGGAAGAAACTACCAAAGTTATGGATGTCACGGCATTGCCAGGATGAATGAGTGTTCCCTATATTAGAGAATTAACAGGACTAAAGAGTGGGGTAAATGGGAATATACATCCCTTCCATACTTCAAAGGAACAGAACAGTAAGATCCTTTTAGAGAATGCCTCAAGTCAACACTCCTGTGCTGCATCTTATCTGTGGTCAAAATGTGAATTTCATTTACCAACAGTCCAGCAGCCTTTTCATTCCATTKGCATACTTTTCATTCCATTTGCTTCAGGAAGAGAAGCTGCCTGTCATCTTCTTAGAAGTGTTTATAGTTTAAAAAAAATGGAAATATCACAGTATGTCACACAAAACCCCCTTATTTCCTCTAGAAATGGAAATACTCCTCCCTTTTGCTGTTTTGTTTAATGTTCAGAAGTTAATTGCATTACTGTAGTTYTACTTTATGCAAGTGCATAACTGGAGTGCAAAATAATCAGGCTCACTAATAATTTTCTYAGGAATTATCTGTCAGTACCCACAACTCATCATAGGAGTAGGAGGTAGGAGATTTATCTGACTTCTGGTCATATGGGAAAATCCCTACTCTGCCACACCTTCTCCATTTTAAGACTTGATATTATATATAAACTGAGTGTGAAAAGTCTTTTATAATCAAAAGCTAAAATTTCTGAAGCAGGTGTGATACCTGTTTTATTTGCAATTTCAGTGGAGTCAATTGGCAGGTACCCACTGAGGAGCATTAACTTCCAGCTGAGGAGTGGAAATTCTAACTACAACATAAATTCTCAATAGGTTTTTCTTAGGGTTTTTTTTTTTTCCAAAATGAGTAATTTATTATAAAGCTTAAAATTTATAATCTTGTGAAGAAATAATTTGGTTTCATCTGTTCAGAGTACCCCAATGAGAATATGAAGATTTCAGACTCAGGAACAGTAAGGGTGCTTAGTTAACTAATTAAATTACAGCATTTCCCTTACMTGCTGAGGATGTCACTCCACTGCTACATATATTATTCATCTTTATAAAAACTTCCTGGGCTACAGTGTGAAAAGCAAARTGAAATACACTCATATCCTAGTGCAATCTTCATCAAGTTTTATCAAAGAAAATTGTAATGCTCAATGACCCTATTTAAAATAACATGTAATTATTTAAACAGAATCAAAATACTTCAAGTCAAGTATCTAATAAATATTTTTCTGCATTGGTCAACACTACAGAGCAAATACTAAATTACAGATTATCCAGATTACACTTGGTTCATCACGCACTRTTTAGTAAATCACAAATTAACTATGCAGTAAATAATCACACAACTATTTCCCTCAGACTCTGGGAAGAGATTTGATTAATTTTTTCAGCCACTTTGCTGTCAAGGATGGTTTAAAAACATCAATCCCATTAAAACTGTCAGACTCTGACAGACTTCAAAACCATGTCTATGATTTTGTGTCTTTTTTTTTTTTCCTTCCTTTGAATTAACCAAGCACACACATAATGATTAGAAAGAAATGAATAAACATAAAAGCCCCCAAGATCATTCACTGTCTATTTTGCCAAAGATGCTGAGCCACCAAAGTTAAATCTACAGGTGGCGGATTTTTGTGAATTTAATTTGCTTTTAATAGAAGAAATGATGCAACATGAGCTGCTTTTGCAAAAGAGGTAGCTTTGAATAAAGAAAGACATCTGTGAGGCCTACATCAGTCTGTTTTATGAGAAATCCCACTGTCAGAAGTGCATGAACCCATTAAGTTGGGTTGTGTTCCTTTGCAGGAGCRTTGCTGAGCTGGCAGGAGCAGCTGCACTTTGGAGCAAGGTGGTGTTAATAATTGTGATGGTGCTAATAATGAACATGGAGGGAGGATCCCCCTGGAGCATCACAGGGGACTCAGAGCACATTAATTTTGGGAGCATCCCCTCTGTAGGAACTGCCCAGACTCATAGGATGGGTACCCCTACCTCCCAAGGGAACAGCTGAGCCATAAAACCAAGAGCCTGTGTGTGTGAAGGTGCCCTCAGAGAGTCCTGGGGCTCAGAGACCTGCTCTCATGCCAGAAAATGTCCTGTGGAACACGCAAAATAAAGCTGAATCACACCAAAAGAAGAATTTGCACACAAAATTGCTTTGATCGCACAGCCTGACCAATGCAACAGTAAASAATGTTCCCAACGTGGCTCKCAGTGAACAGAACTCYRCAATTTTAAACTACATTAAAAGGAKTCACAGSGAAAAAAATAGATTATCTTTAAAAATTATTGGCAAATTCTGAGTTGGCCATTTAAAGGAAAGTACATATAAATGAGATCTCCACTTCTCTTACCTTKGCAATGGTCTCGTGCAGGATGAAGGAGGGATCCAGCTCTTCTGTTTTTGTTGCATGTGCAGGAAAAAGAGCTTCAGAGAGAAAGCTGGAATTCTGTGAGAAACAAAGAAGGAGGTTTTTAGGATTCCACACAAATTTCCTACTTCAATTGGTTATTGGATTTTGTTGATAAATTGAAAAAAAATCCTTCAAATCTTTCTTAAGTTTTGAAGATTAGGGAACTTATCTCACTGATCTGATTAACTGATTCCAAGTCCTCAAAAAAGGCAAAACCCCCTAAGTCTTATGACTTCATTTCTGGAATGGCAGTTGTCTCTGTAATCATTTTTCCCAAAGCAGCAAAAAATTTTGCCTACAGGGAGGAAAAAAATATCCACACAGCTTTTATTCTGAGCTAAGCAGCAATCAGACATTTTATTAACTATGTTATGATTTARGTCTTCAGAAGAAATGTAACCACAATAATCAAGGAATACTTTCATCCTCTGTAACCATCCTACTTCTCTATATGGTAACACCATCTAAATAATGAGGGATTGTTGACAATTCCCTAAAATTATAAACTTTAGGCTGACCACTCCATTAACACCAGACAATCTTAACTGTTGTTTTTACAAGATGTTCATCTCTTCTTGTACTGTAAGAAAGCAAGACATGAGGTTGCAGATTTGCTGTCAYAAGGAAACCAATACCAAAGAGAGGACTGGGAAAAAAGGTAAAACAACAGAAAACAAATCTCAAGGCTCAAAGCTGCCCAGATGCCTAAAACAGGAATCACATTGCTGATAACTTTGCTTGTTAAATTTTTCTATAAATTAATGCCCTCATGATCAATATTCTACCAGTATTTTCATGCGTTCCTAGGAGACTATTTTTGATGGGTAGCAAACTCCCACCACTTTCTTAAAAAAAAAAAAAAAATCTAATTAGCACTGCATCATATCAATTTTTTGTGTTCAGTGATGCATCTGTGTGCTGCATAAGTTGTCACAGAAGCATCACAAAAATAAATGAAGTAATTTTTTCCTTCAGATTTTTTTTTTTTTTTAGATCTCACAGAGAAGACGCACAAAGTCATTTATTACAAAGATAAAATACTTACTTCAGTATTAACTGCTAACTATTTATCTTTGTTTCCAGTTTGCACACCAGTTTACAGAGCTGTCTCATTTGACCAGGGGGCTGCTGAGTGGTGATGTGGTGGTGCTCATCAGCAGTCACATCATTGCAATCAATAACTCAAACAGAGTTACATCATTTATATTCACTCTTGAGTATCTCACTGAGACTCACTGAAGGGAATGACTAACAAATTAGATTTGCTACACGAGATCAGGTTATTGCTCCATCCTGGCAAATATCCCCTCTCTGCAATCTAAAAGGTGGGGGTTCAGTGYCTGGAAAGCAGGGAGACTCTGCTCACCTGGATTTTGTCCCACTCCTCCCCAAAACCAGCTGGGCCAGGGAAAGCAGCAGCCTCTGCCTTTGGGAGAGCTCAGCATCAAAGGCAGCGATCACAGATCGATCAAAGCTCACTGGACATCACAAGTGATGAGTTGTTCTGCTCATGAAGCATTCAAACCCTGCTTGCTAAGATCTTGAAAATGATTTCTGTTTGAAACAACTTCCTGACATCTAAAATGATCTTGCTCTGCACTTGTAAATGGAAATGTTTAAAATAGCTGTTGTTGTCATTTTTTTTTTTTCTCATAGAAGGCTCCTCTGTAAAGAACTGCTAGAGAGGCCAACTTGCTCTGTTTCTCTCACCTTTTATTGTTTTTCAAGCACTATGCTCACCACAGAAAGCTGCATGAACTTTCTAAGAGAAGCCCACTCTTTATCCCAGGCAGAGAGATGAGTCCAGATGATKCTCCAAGAGCACCTCTCAGCATTCAGCAGCAAGAGCAGCACCTTCCAACAGCAAGAAACTGGATCACACTTCTCATTTATTCTTTCCCACAATAATGGGTGAGTGCCGTATTTTGGTTTTTTTGGAACAAAAATTTGCTAAGCAAATTTCCAGTAAATGCACACCAAGTAAAAGACTTGCTAATCCAAAAATATTAAACCCAACTGTATTATTTTGTTGTGCTTTGTAGCATTGGGAGCTACAGCTGCAGTTGCTGTCCTCATTCTCTCCCATATTCACCTCCTAAAACCAAATCACCCACCTCTACCCCAGCCAGGCACCAGTGCCACCTTCACTTTGTACAAATGGCAGAGCCTTCGATGCATTGGGAATGCTCTGGAGGTGGCATCAAATAATGGAAACACCTTTTCAAGCTCAGACCACCATGAGACACCCTAAAATTTAGGAGGCCAAACTTTCAGGCAGACTTTGATAATTTCCTCCTTCGCCTTTCATTGCATTCTGGTAATTTTTCTTTAAGTTCATAGCTATCCAAATGGATTRAGAACATTTGCTCTTCTGATGTGAMGGTATGTTTTTATCATACAAACTTTACAATCCAAAAAGGATCATCCCAGTAATGCCTGAATTCCCAATGAAATGATTTGGTTTCTCTGTGAGCTCTTCAAAAGAGAAATGAACAAGCCTAGTATGTATTTAGAAGTCCCTCCCTTTGTCTCATCTTCCTTTTGGAATGATCAGTTAACCTGGGCTTTTCAATACTCATTTAATGAAGCATTCTGTGAAATTAGAAAGACATTGATGTTCCACTTTTCAAATAATGGGTCACTTCTGATTAAACTTCGATTGAACATTCAACTTTCAATCTTAAAACAAATTGCCTCCTTTTCTTTTTAATTTGAACCCAATTTCCTGYTGCCCTCGGGTCTTGTGACAGTAATTAATTGATTTATGAATCAATTAAATGGAGATCGAAAATGCAAGCGAAATTCTCTAAAAACCCCAAACCTGGCTTACGCTTGCTTATTTATGATGGACAATTGCACTAAAATTCACTTCTGATTTACTACACTCATTTTTCTAACTTAACTTATCCTTCCTCAACTAATTAAGTGAACAAAATGTTTCACCTTCTAAAGGCACTAAATTTGCCATCCCTTGTGTACTGTCTTATAACATACCTTCAATTTATATGCCAACTTTCAACCAATGCATTTTAAATCAAGAATAAAATCCCACAGCACTTCTGGTGATTTAATGGAAAACAGAATAAATACCAAGATATGCTTTAAAGATCTATTTTGCTGTCATTAAGCAAAGAAAGTTTAAAAAAATATCAAATTTTGCCACCTATTGTGTTAGAACTGGAATTATTTCTTTAAATACATGCAATAATTTTTTTACTAGGCCAGAACAATGCTGTATCCACAAGAGATCCTGTTTTCATGACTATTACTTGAGAAACAACAGTAAAATGACCAGTTAAATTCTCAATTTATGTACTCAAATTATGTAAGGAACAATTCCTTAATACACTCTCATTCCACACCTGAATAGATTTTTCTTGCCTGCTGAATATTTCTAAGGTTTTACATGAAGACATTCCTCTGTTCTTTACCTGGTGAATAATACACAAATATCTCCAATTTTTTTTTTTTTTTCCCTGGGTTTTTTGCCTCCTGGCAGGGTGATTGAACCAGAGGTTTGACTGTAAGAGGGATCAAAAAGAGAGTAATGGCAAAGGTGTCTTAGACTAAATATGGTTTATCATTGGATTATGTTCACTTTGGCAGGGTGCTGCAGACTGAAGCAGAGTTACTGAAAAAGTGGATTATGTAGAACAGACCAGACTGAAGCCAGAGTATTGCTCTCCAAAGTATGGGTCTCTAGGCATTAATATATTGCATAAAGAATTTCTCACCACTAAAGGGCCATAGGGCTGCAAAAATATTGCAGGAGAGAGTTCCTGCTTCATCTCACCAGCAGGCTGACTTCACCCTTTCTAGCAAATGCTCTAGATATCTAATTAAAAATCACCCCTCAAATCCACAAAGTATTATAAARTGGTGTAAAAGTTGGTTTTCAAACAAAAGACACAAAACATGTGCTTTAGAATTATTTTTATAAAGCAAAGTTTTGCAATTGCCACAGGCTAACACAGGTTATTTTTTATATTTCTCATTCAAAATGAGAATGCCACTACTCTGGAAAATGGGCTTGTCAGAAAGAGTTTCTTACAAGAGTATTTTCTTTGGTATTTTCACCATTTAGTTTACTGAAGAACTTACAGGAAAGAAACAACAGAATATCTATTTTCTGTTTGAATATTCTAGTAAAGATGTGCAGTGACCTTGCAATGCCACCCAATGCTGGACAAAATGAGCAAGGCCTGGCAAGGAAGACTGCACAAAATACAGGAGAGGCAGAATTGGAATCACTGCTGCACAAGTTATTTTATTATTCAATTCAATTGTAGCCAGAAAAAACCTCAGCCAACAGTCATAAGGAAAAGAATATAAGCACATTTCTCTCATCTCTTCAAATTTAATGTTTTCTTCCTTATGTTAGTAAGTGAATTGAACTAATCACTGTAAAGTTATAAATTCACAGACTGCAGCACAAAGAAAGCAACTTTGAAGATGTCAGGATACTTTTCCAGCTTTATTCCTCTGCAATTTTCCCTTGTGCTTTTCACACTGGAAGCAGAATCAGCAGTTTAGGCAGGAAGAAATGGCCCAAGTTAGAAATTTGGAACCTGACAGAGGATCTTCCCAAAGTTTCAGTGTTAGAAACAGGAGGTTCAGCTCAGATTCAAKAMATCTRWGAMAGAACAGCTTTCTTGGATGTGTTGYGTGAAGGATGCAAGAACATTTTGTAGCATTTTATGATTAATTGTGAGCATCCAAATCATGCAGAAAAACGCAGATCCAGGAAGATCACCCTAAAAATGTCCTGCTGGAAGTCGTGAACCCCAGTGGCATTTTTTCACAATCACAAATATTACCAATCACAATGCTTTTGTTTCCTGATTCAATGATTCATATCCCCAGCTTTTATTTTTAGTGCTCCAAAAGATATTTATTACACAGAATGGAGAAATCTGATGTTAGACACAGGACAGATGTTGTGTAGGTGGGAGGCTCACCACCTTGCAGGAAAAATTAAAATTGTCTTCTGCTCAGAATAACGATATCTTCAAGACAACATTTATTTATCAAAAGCC